TATTTTACATTTTCGTTAATTACCATTTATTCTAATTATTATCTATTGAATTTTATCATTTTATTTTACCATTGGTGCTAGTATGGAAATAAATAACTTAAACAAAACTATACTAACTATGATTATACTACTATTTTACTATCAATATTTTGTTTACGTACAAACTACTATTTATATACATAACCGAGTTTAAAACCAACTACTACGGAATGACTTATTAACTATCTACATTCATTTCTTTTTAGTCGACCATCTACTTTTTTCATTGCTTAACTATCACATAGAAAAACATCGACATAGCTAAAAATTAAACTAGAATATCGAGTATAATAACCGTTATAATGTGCATGAGATCCATCCTCCAACTACATCCAATGTACATGCACCGGACCAATCCTTCGATAATCGGTTTAGACATGAAAAACACCATCTTTACCTATATTAGCTACACCATAAGCAAATAGGTGAGTGACAACTTGATAAGTTAACTAATGCATGCTATGCATGTAAATGAAAATACAAGTATAAATCTTTTGTATGCTCATATAAAATCCTTTTCATGTCATAAACACCTTTTCATGATTAGTCTAAAAATTATTTTTTTTCTTTGGACATGTCCCATTATAGGAACTTCAAGGTTTCCATGAAATGTTTGGCAAACAAGATCGGTCTCGAGACGTGTCCTATCGAGCCTTGGTGCACATCCGCATCACTCGACCTATGTAAACCATAAACCATGAATCATGAATCATAAAAAGTCATGGAACCCATGAACCCCTTTTATAAAACCATGAAAATCATTTCCACGAAAGTCATGAAAACCATATAACAATAAAAAATTTTCCAATTGCTATTAAAAAATTCTTGACATAAAATCCTCTTTCCCATGACTTTTAAATCAATTCCATAAACTTGGCATGCATATGCATTTTACTATAGATGCATAATCATTATAATTTCATGAAATGCATGCCATGAGTGAGATGCATTTATGCCATAATATTGCATAGTTTAATAACATAAAACCTTTATAAACGTTAACTTAGTAAAATCATTCCAAACCATTAAAACATCAACACCATCACAATATAAAACAACACAAATACATAACATAAACCAACACAAATTCATCAACATTAACATTGTAACTTACACATAACATACACATTTCAAACTAATCAATTGGCATTTCAAAATTCAACCACACATTAACATTAAATTATACAAATCAAGTCACGGACCTTAAATTTCTTAACTTAGGCCGAATGATACCCTAATTTATTTTAACCATTTTTTTCCAATTTTAAGACCCATTTCTCACATACTTCCACTCAATTAAACCCTAATGACAAGAACTATCTCAATTAAGTATTAATTGGTTAATTACGTCTATAATTTTCAAATTGAGCCTTATTGGGCCTATACACTAATTTAGGTATTCTATACTAGATTTAATATTTTAATGTAACTTTCATCTCTAGCTCATTCCATCACATTATCATAAGTCCAAAATGATTAATTGAAGTACTAAGAATCAATTAAACCTAAACCCTAATTTGTTCCATTTTGGGCCAAATGCTACCTTCACCCTAGTCTCATTATTTTCTTCTCAATTCATGACTAATTTCTAATAGTAACTCATTCAATTATATATTAACATTAAGGATCAATTTAATTGACATTTATAGAATAATTACATGCATAAAACCTAATTAGGCCTTAATGGGTCAAAATTGGGTCTATACTAAATTAGGTAAATTTTTTCATTTTTCTTAGAATTTTTCACTTCTATTCATCAAATTATACTCATTCAACTACTAATTAATCAACAATTCATAAATTAAGTGGAATAATCAAAACTCTAAAACTTAGGGTTTTAGGCCGAATGTCATCCTAAAGAAATTCATTAAATTTCCTTCAATTTAAATGAAAAATTTTATTCTTAAACTCTAATTCACACCTAATTAAGCAATAATCAAGCTACGTAACATCAAATAATTCGAAGGATTAAAAAGCCCTAAGTCTCTAATTTGGGGTCAAAAGTTTACCTCTTCCTAACCTTAGGAATTTTTTATTTCGAATCTCAATTTTAAGCTCAATTAACATATTTCAATCTTAATTTCATAAATTACTAGCTGAATTTCATTTTTTTTCAATTTTTCCTCATCAAGAACCCTAACTTTAATTTTGAAAATTAAAGCTAAAAATCACAAAGTAAAGCATCCAAATCCCAAATTGACATTAATTACACATTACTTGTGGTGTAGGTGAAGTTAACTTACTCAATTAAGCTCTAAATTAACCTTGAAGGTTGGATGATTTGAGAAATTCCTTCCTCCCTTTTCCTCCACCAATTCGGCCTAAATCCAAATTTCTCCCCTTGATAAATTTTGATCCTCTAACTTGAATTCCTTGCTTAGGTAGTTGATTTAAAGTGTTTAGAGGTGATTTGGTTGAATTTTTTGGGTGGAGATTCCGATGAAAATTTTGCAAGAGTTTCCTTCGTGTTTGGTGAATTTTCATGCATTTTATTGAATTTCTTGCACCTATATTTATAAGCAATTTTTGGTGGACTTTTGACCTCATCTCGACCCTTGATTTACTACAATTGGTGTGATCCTAGCCCTTAAATCACCTTTAAATCCTAGCCTTTCAAATGGGTTAATCTTGCCCATTAATCTTCCTTTTGATTTTAGCCTTCCATCTTGCTTAATTCCCACCTCTTCTTTTTATTTTAGTCAAAGCTCATTTAATAACCCCGAATCATGTTACTGGAATTCGGCTAAAAGGGGTAAAAATCTCTCAATTTTTTTTCCTTAATTTAGGTCCCTTAATTTACTAATATTTTCTCTAATTGCTACTCCATACATCCTTCAATTCTTCAATTAATTACTTTATGCCCTTATTTTAAAGATATCTTAACAAATTTTAACTCCTAAAGTTCATAGCTAATTTATTTAAAATTTAAAACTTTTAATTTTATGGAATTAGGTCTCTAATTTCTATGCAATTAGGTCTCTATCTCTAAAATTTTATTCTATACTTTTCTAAAATTCAATTTCTCTTCATAATAAATTCAAGAACTCTCTAAAACAATTTAATCATCATTCACATAATTTTTATACTTTTATTTAGGCCCCCAAATTAATTATTTAATGTGAAAATTACATTATTTTCTATAAAAAAATTCCTTATATGTAGAAAAATTTATCAAAACTTATTTAATATTCCTACACACCCTAAATGATTTTTTTATACCCTTGGAATAATTTTCTTATATCTTTAAAGCACCTAAATTAATTAATTTATCTCAAAATTAGTATTCATGCACAATAAAATGGAAATAAAATATTCACATAGTATCGGAAAAGTCATCCAATAACATATAATAATCTAGCACCCCTCTAGCAAATATTCTAAATAAGCAAAATATTTTTCATACACATATAACATGCATAAAATAATTATTTCACATAAAAATCAATATTTATGCACTCGTAAAATCAATAAAATATTCATTGAGTATAGAAAAATTATTCTAACTTATCCGAATATTCTTTCAACATTTTATAGATTATTCCATGCCCTCAAAATATTTTTTATATGTTTTTAATTATTTGAATTTCATTAAATTTCAGTTTTAGCGAGTACTGGGTATTATATATTTTGTGTGTTTGGGAATGAATTTATATTAGTGTCTATATTAGTGTTTTTATGGATGTTTTGTTTGTGTCTCTATTTTGTTAGGTGTTTGATTCCCTTTTAGGGGTTGGTTCCTTACTTTTTGATGTTTTAATCAGGATTTTGAAATTGTTTTTGGTTGGTTTAAAGATTTTTACACTGGTCGGCGAAAATGAATCTTTCATCAATAGGACGTGGTTGTGTGACATTGCTTCCGATTGATTGGCAATGACTAAGCTTATTTCTTAACCTATGGTATTATGAGTTTTTGCAAAGATAACCTAAGTTTGGAAGTTTTAGATAATTTATTTTATCGCAGACTTGTAGCATTGTTAATACTATTTTAGCCTAACTTCTCCATCTTTAAAAATTAAACAAAATGGAGGCAATACAATCTTAATTAAATTTAGGCCCATATCGATTTTTTTCAACTGAATATCGATAAGTATGTACTAGTCATCTTGGTATCATTCTCTTCCGTAGTGTTGTATGGGTTTTTTTTTTTTTTTTTTGAATTTTCTAAGTTAAAACCACAAATTCGTAATTTCTTTATGTATCATTACAAAATCAAAATCCTTCTTTTGTGTAAATAAAGATGATGCTTCATTTAATATTCTGTATGTATTAAAATCTCTTTATTTTTAAATATTCGTCATTTTATACGGTTGGACTATTTTAATTTTTAAGTTAATTTTCTTTTGACATTGAGTATTTAGTAGTGATTTAACTTTGTATTTTATTTTTAGATATTTGACATTTTTTTTTTTGCATCGAATTATATATGAAATTAATTTTTTTAGTTACTTGGGTTGTAATTTGTTTATATTAAAATACCACTTTCAATATTTTTTTCATTATGATGTAGGACAAAACAATAAGATGACATGATATGAAAAAATTTTGTTTCAATAACAAAACCAAAATGATCATTCGTTGGAGCGATAATGAACATTGATTTATCATCCAGATTTTATGTGTTTGGACTATCCGAAAGTTCAATTTCCACTGTTTCTATGGTCAAGATCTTTTCAAATGATAAGATTCAATTCTCACTATTGTCTTCTTCTTCATAATTATAATGTGAAATGAGTGATGTATTTGTACATCTTTTAATATTAATGAAATACTATTATAGAAAATAATAAAAGAAACTATATATTTTTTGCTTTAAAAAATGGGTTCACAAACTACACACTAAAAGGAATTTAGTCACTTGTAAAACAAATCCAAGAACCCAAATCAAAATCATCACAGTTCAATTCATCCAAAAATATTGAATTATATTTCAAGATTTTGTCAAGACTTAGGGTCATGAATACATGGATCTCATGCTCGATCACATTACGAGGTAACCGAACATGTGTACAAGCCAATTTCTCGTTTTTTTGGTCTCTCGACGTTACACCTCCGAATAAGGAGTGGGTGAAACCCACGCTCTTGAGAGCATGTGTAACTAACGGATTCCTGTTAAATCCAAGCACAAGTAATATAAAAGGAGCCGTTATCCATTATTTGAGATATAAATTCTTGCAATTGAACTTCCATTGTTCTAACAATTTAGTCTTTGTGTGTGTGTGTGTGTTTGTGTGAGAGGGAGAGTGAGAGAGAGAGAAAGAGGTGTTGAAATTTGTTAGTTTCCGATGGCCTAAAGATTCTCGCATAGCTCGGATGTCAAAATTAAGTCCATAATAAAAATTTACACCGATATTTATAACATTATTCAAAAAAAAAAAAAACAAATTACAAGAAAAGAGGAAGAAGACAAATATTGTAATGATTAATAAAAAAACTTGTGAGTGCTACAGCAAGTATAATCTAGGATCTAGTTTCTCGGAATAAAAAAAAAAGAAAAAAAAAGCATAACCTAGGATTTAGTTACGGAAAGAATGGAAATCCAATAAACTGATAAAATTACTTAATTTATAAAAAATGAATAAATTTAGTGTTGATTTTGGACTAATTATGATAGGATGCATTTAAAGTTGCCCTATGGGCATATTGGTAATTAATATTAGTTAGATTACCATAGGATTTGAGTAATATGTGATTTTAGAACATTAGTTGAGAGATTAATTACTGATAGTCATGCTAATTAAATTATTAGATTATTCGTTTGAGAGATTAGTTATTAGTAATTAGTATTAATTAAATATCATATCTAATTCAATACTTCATGAGCGGATAATGGTAAGTAGATAAAAAAAAAAAAACACCCTTTGATTGTAGTAATTTCACTTGCTCATATGTGAACTAATTAAATTTATCAGATTTTTGAACAAAATGTAACTAAAAGTGATATAGATAAAATGTATAATTCCTAAGAAAGCCATTTTACATATTTAAACATAAATAGCCATTTATGTTACAAATAAGGAACCTCCGGTAAATCTCTTGTAGCAATACAATAAATAAATAAATCAATAAATAAACCTAAGTCACTATTTAAGATATTCTCACTAATAATTAAAAATATGTTTTATATTCTCTCTCTTATTCTCCTCTTTTTTTTTTTTTTTTTTTTCATTGTCTATTATTTATAAAAAATCTATCGACTTAATCTTAAAGCGATTTCTCGATAAGCACATTCAAGTTATAAGATATCCTCATTAATAATTAAAAATATATTTTATATTCTCTCTCTTATTCTCCTCTTCTTTTGTCATTGTCTATTATTTAAAAAAAAAACTTATTGACTTAATCTTAAAGCGATTTTTCGATAAACACATTCAATTTATAAGATCTTTATCTATATATTAGGTTTTGATATCTTTAATTACCGATCAAACATTATAGCCTAACGATCTAATATCGTGCTTGATCGACATATCGTCCTAGCCAAACAACCTATTATCGCAATCGATCAAATGTCATAACCAAACAATCAACTACCATAATTGACTTATTTTTTTATAAATACGTTTTTTTAAGTAGTTATTAAGATATATACTATAATAAAAAAATGTTATAAAAAATTCAATATCAATTATAAATTTTTCGAAGTTTAACTCAAGAAGAAGTGATTTTACTTTCCACAATATTATCTTAGGTTTGAACCCGACAAGGATTTTTAGAAAGAAATTTCTTAGTAACATGCTAAATTCAAATAAGCATGGGTTGCCTCAAACCTGGGAGGGATCTAATCTCGGCGATTAAAAAGCTCGTAGGGGACTATTTTGTAGTTAGTCCACAAGCACTAAAACTCACACTCTCTCTCCCTCTCTCCCTCGAATTCCACCATATATAAGTTCCATTTTCATATTCTTTATTCTCTCTCCTACGTTTTTTTTTCCCTAGCAAAAAACACAAAATCTCCCAATTTCTTCTCTTCATTTCGATATAAAAAATCAGTTTCTAGGGTTAGGGTTTTCAAAAAAAATAAAAAGTTAAATTAAACAAAATCTCTCCTGTTTTTCTGTCTCCTTCGCGAAGGAGGGGAGACTATGGGAGGTGATAATGGAGATGTAGAAGAAGAAGTCAGCAAAGAAACCAACGGTGGAGATGACGGAGTCAATGTCAACATCAGATGCTCTAACGGCTCAAAATTCACCGTCAAAATTAGCTTGTCGTCAACCGTTGATTCGTTTAAGCAGCTTATCGCGAATCAGTGTGATGTGCCGTCTAATCAACAACGATTGATTTACAAGGGTCGGATCTTGAAGGATGATCAAACTCTACAGAGCTACGGTAAAAAAAATAAAATAACATAGTTATTTTATTTATTATTAGTTTTGAATTTATGTTTTTTTAATTTGTTAAATTTTTTGATGCTGCTAAATTCTTGATCTGGGTAATTAATGAATTTATTAACTTGTTTGATGGGATTAAGCAGCTATAATTTCGGATTGATAGTTATAATTGACAGTGGTACGAAAATTCAATGTTGGTGTTGACATTATTTATAGGAATTATTGCTGAGTTTTTAGTGTTTTGAATAAAATGTTGTGTTCATTTGATGCTGATGCGCAATTCCGACAGTCAACTTGACGCCGGCTGTTCTTTAATGTTTGATAGGTTTGGAGGCAGATCATGCTGTCCACTTGGTTCGTGGGTTTGCACCATCTGCACCAGCCAATGCAACTGCTGCAACAAATACTGGAGGTTTGAATACAACGCTAACTAATACTAGAGCTGCTGGTTCTAATGATGACGGAGTACTTGGAGGATCTGGTTTTGGGTCACTATTTCCAGGACTTGGTTTAAATGGATTGGGTGGCAATGGTGGTTTGTTTGGAGCTGGACTTCCAGAGTTTGAACAAGTGCAGCAACAGTTGACTCGGAACCCCAACATCATGAGAGACATAATGAACACGCCTGTTGTTCAGAACCTAATGAATAACCCTGAAATCATGCGAAACTTGCTAATGAACAATCCTCAAATGCGTGAAATCATTGACCGTAATCCTGAGCTGGCTCATATACTTAATGATCCCAGCACTCTTCGTCAAACACTTGAAGCTGCAAGAAACCCAGAGCTCATGCGTGAGATGATGCGCAACACAGACAGAGCTATGAGCAACATTGAATCTTCTCCTGAGGGATTCAACATGCTGAGGCGCATGTATGAAACTGTTCAAGAGCCGTTTCTTAATGCAACAACAATGGCTGGAAATGCTGGAGCTGATAGTGCAAACCCATTTGCAGCTCTTTTAGGGACCCAAACTGGGAACCAGGCCAGAGATGGATCAACCAATCTGTCAACCACTAGCTCTGAAGCAACCACTGGTTCTCCTGCTCCAAACACGAACCCACTTCCCAACCCTTGGAGCAGTAAGCTCTGTCTATCATTTCTTATCATATTGAAGCTATTTATGAGGAGGTTAAATTGAGCAGTTCAGTATAATTTTTTACATGACGTATGTTATTTGAGTTGTAAATTTAAAATGCTTGTTTATGGTGAAATTACATACCAGTGCAAGAGGCCAAAACTTGTTTGTTGCTAGTCAGTGTTTTGTGTAGATCCTGTCCTAGTCAATCCAAAGCTTTTCAGGAGATTATATTTGTTGATTTTTTTTTTTTTTTTAACAGCTTGATAGGAGGAATTTAACTTTTTTGGCCTCAAGTAATTTATTTTTGTGCTTCATTTATGTTTTACTTTTATTATGCACATCAGATATTAATTAATTGTTTTGATTTATTGTATGCTATATGTAAATCTGACAGCTGGAGGTGCCCAAACTAACACCACTAGTTCGAACCCTACTGGTGATACTAGGCCACAGGCACCTACTGGGCTAGGCGGACTTGGTCTCCCAGATCTTGACAACATGTTTAGTGCAACGCCAGATGCTGCTATGGTGAGCCAGTTGATGCAAAATCCGGCCATCTCACAAATGATGCAAAGCTTCATGTCCAGCCCTCAGTACATGAACCAGGTATAGATTTATTATGTTGCTTGGTAAAATTGTTGTTCGTGAAATTTCTTTCTTACTAATATCAATCATGTTTCAGATTCTTGGTATGAATCCCCAACTCCGTAGCATGCTTGATTCCAATCCTCAACTAAGAGAAATGATGCAAAACCCAGAATTTCTTCGCCAGTTGACGTCTCCTGAGACGATGCAGGTATAAGAATTTTACAGTTGCTTTGGCATACACTTAAAATGCTTTCTCTCTCTAACGCAGACATGTAGATACACTGAATCGGTGCAGGTACGAATTTTTTTACAGTTTACCCATAAATGCCCCTTTTCTCTAACGGACACCTGTAGATGATGCGAAGCACTTGTACAATCTCAAACAAAACAAACCCCCACCCCAACCCCCCACCCCACAATGCCATGCGATGCCACCCCAGACAACAACACACCACACACACAACACCGCCATGACCATGAGCACGACCAACCAATACACTTGGATGCAAATGGACATTGAGTAGTGTGTGTTTGTTCACGATGTCCACGGGTGTTTGCATTTTCTTGTTAGTCAGTAGTTTTAACTAGTATGCTAGTTGTTTAATTGCAATGGATATTTTTTCTGGATTATATTTAATCTGGAATAGTGCCTGTAATGTTTTCTATATCAAGTTTAACCCGTAATTCCCTCCTGATTCCTCATCTTGCAGCATCTCTTGACTTTCCAGCAATCTCTTATGTCTCAACTTGGTCGGCAGCAGTCTACCCAGTAGGTGGCTGTGCAATTTCTTTTCTTTGTTTGTCTGAAAAGTCGTGTTGGGTGGCTACACTTGATTGATTTCAAATTTTACGTTGATTAGCAGATTTCAGTGGCTTCCTCTTTTGGTTTTGCTAATTTGGTCCTCTTTTGCAGGGAACAAGGTCAGACTGGTGCTGGCACAGGTATTGAAGACATCATTTAAATATACTGTTTATTTTCTTTTGACTGAAACTAAGTTAAAATTTGTTTGATGTGCTTTATTTCCTTTTCAACTATCTATACATGACCCAAAGTTCAAATTGTCTGGTATGCAGGCCTTAATTTGGAAATTTAAAGAATTGGTTTAATATTATTGTCATTGCTTCATTCAAATGTTTTTCCCACCAGGTTCCAGTTACAGGATGGTTTGCTTTGATTTGAATTCTTTAATTTCTGAACCACGAGGCAGTAGAGGATTTTATTTCTCATTATAAGAAGGAAGTTGACAACATTAAAAGTTAGTAAATGATACTTGTCTCAACTCTTCTCTGTCTTAATGCCAAACCAGTTGGGGTTGGCATATGATGTGTGAAAGGTTCAGTGAACTATTATTACCTTTTCTGGTGTTATAAATACAGATGGTGTTGGATATTGTCTGACAACAGAAAATGATAGAACACTAGTGAGGAACCACTCATTTATTCACTTTATCGCTGAAAAGGATGCAGTTTAGCTATTATGCCAAGAAAGGCAATTATATTAGGTCCCTCATAATTAACTCCCTGCAGTTTTAGAATCCTTAGCTATTATACCAAGAAAGGCAATTATATTAGGTCCCTCATACTGAATTATATTGGGCAGTTTTATTATTCTATATTTCGCTCGTAGCTGCATATCTGTTTTGTTCATCCCTTTGATTGCTCTGGGGTCCATGTTGGACCCACAACTGTAACTTATGTTTAATCTCATTTGTAGGCATACAATACATTGAAAACTGTGTTGGACTCTTCTCTCACATATTCCCCGCACAAAATTCGATTTTTATCTTGATAAGATTATTAATGATGGGTTTTTACTGTTGCTGCATTTGCAGGAACAGCCAACAGCTCTGGTTTGGATATGTTGATGAACATGTTTGGTGGACTCGGGGCTGGCAGCCTGGCTGTTCCCAACAGATCGAACGGTTACTATTCCTTCCATTTTATTTTTTCCTTATCATGTTTTTAGTTGGTTGCTTTTTTTTTTTTTTGTCTGTATCGCACTCATTCCATTCTGCATTCCCAGTGCCCCCAGAAGAACTATATGCGACTCAGCTGTCACAACTTCAAGAAATGGGCTTCTTTGACACTCAAGAGAATATAAGAGCATTAATTGCAACTGCAGGGAATGTCCATGCTGCAGTTGAGCGTCTTTTGGGGAATTCCGGCCAATAGTTGATTCATATTTTATCTTTTTACATGGTTAGCTTCGAGTCGGTCAGTTTATGACCTGAGTTATATTCAAGCCCTCAGTTGTCAGTATGAATAAGTTCAGTTATGATAGGAAAGGGCTGTGAACATTCTCAGTGTGCTTATGATTGTTGGATGATCTCATTTCTTCTCCATCTCTCGTTTCTTCTCCATCTTTAGTGAGATCTATCAGGCTGTGAGTGTCATTGTACATACCTTATATTTACAATTTGTCATATGAATTGTTTGAAAAATTTCTTGGGACTTTTGGAATTCACAGCCCTACCGTCCCTAATTCTTTCTTTTCTTGTCACATTTCCTAATTAATATATTTTGTTAGTTAAAGTCCATTTGTGATGCGAGCCCAAGCCAAGACCTAACTACCAGTGGGCTTCCACCAGATCCTCCTCAGGTCCAGAGAAAAGGTCCAGAGAAAAAGTCACCGTATTCCCAAGAAACCACACAAGTATGATGATTACATATAGAGCCAAACAACATTGTTATAGTTTGTTGTAAAAAAGGAATGGTGAGTTTGTTACAAATGTTTTGTATGAGCTGGGCAAATTTGTTAAAATCTGTCGATAAAGTTGACGAAATGATGAGAAATAACAAGAAGTATTCCCTTAATTCTCTCTTCTTCCTTCTTCCTTTTCTCTTTCTACCTTTCTCTTTTGCCATCTTTGACAAATTCACCCATAATTCCTCACCTAAATCTCTTTGTTCAAAGCCTTGTGCATTGCCTTGGAGTGTAGGGCATCATTTGGTGCTTTCATTGTCGTTCTCCCAATGACATAAAGCATGGTGACTTATTCTAAAGCCTCGGAGGAGCAAATTTCCAAGCTAGGTGAGCCTTTGTTACCATTTCCACCCTCCTTACCAACCATTCCTTCCACCCACACCTTATGGTTCCCATGCTCACCCTTTTCTTGGGTTTTCACCTTCTCAACAACCCTTCCAACCTCATGATACATCCACTCGGATCTCCTCCGGCCTTCCCAAACTTGAGATTCCATTGTTCTCGGGCGAGAATTTATTAGGCTAGTTGTTTTAAATTGACCATTTCTTTAGGTATCACCACATACCTCTTGACTCAACGCCTTAATATACCGCTTTTTACATGATCGGACCTACTTTGCAATGGTTCCATTGGCTCCATTCCACTTCTCAACTATCCATTTGGGACGTCTTCACTCACCGACTTGAGTTACGTTTCGGGCCATCTTCCTTTGTTAACCATGAAGCTCGGCTCTACAAGCTTCGTCAACATTCCTTTGTTTCCACTTATATGAGGGATTTTAAGGCTCTTTTAGCTTGGATTCGTGGCCTTAACACCACCAATTTACTCAACTGTTTCCTCTCCGACCTCAAAGACGAAATCCAATGTGAGCTCTATCTTCTCAAACCTCCCTCCTCGCATAAAGCCATGGCATGGCTAAGCTTCTGAAGATAAATGCAATGCTTCCCGACCTTCCTTCTCCTAGCCTTCATTCTCTCGACCACCTCTTTATGTGCCTCTCCTTTCCCCATCTTCAAATCCCACTCATTTCCTCCTATCACCACACCACACACTACAACATAAACCCCCACCTCGTTCCTTCGCCTTACCTCTTAAATGCCTCACGCCCGCAGAGATGGCCGCTCGACGAGCCGAGGGGCTTTGCTTTAACTATGACAAACAATTCACACCGAGCCACCATTGTCGTCCTCTACAATTCCGTTGTATTATGATTGACGTTGACCCCGACCGTGCTTTTGAATCCGAGGAAATTTTCGAGGCAACTACCGATCCCGTTCGGCCCTCCCCCATTAATACACCGACCAATCCTCTACCTCATATCTCCTTCCACGCTCTTATGGGTTAATTGGTGCCATCTACTTTGAAATTGTCCGGGTCGATCAATGGTAAATCCGTGATTGTTGTTAATCGATGGCGACTCCACTAACAATTTCATTCGGACACGTTTGGCTATGCATCTTAGCCTCCCCATTCAGCTTCACACCTCATTTAACGGTGATGGTGGGTAATGGTGACTCCCTAGGGTGTAGGGGTGTGTGTCCGCAAATGCTCTTACCTTAGATCAAGCTACCTTTATCGTGTATCTCCTCTTGGTACCCATTTAAGGGTAAGACTTGGTTTTTGGGGTCCAAGTGGCTAGCTCAATTAAGGCTCGTGTTGTTTGATTATAAGGCCCTATGGATGGAATTTTCATATAAAGGCAATCTACTTTGTTTTCATGGCCTTTACCAAACTACTATAAATCTTATTATCACCAATCCACTTAGGAGATCAGCCTAAACCCATTCTATAGCCCAGCTTTTTCACCTCTCTATTACAAAACCACCGTCCACCTTTCAACCCAAAATAGCAACCGATGCTTCTCCACCATTTACATTGGCTTTATAGACTCTCCTTTCTTAATTCTCTTCTATCTTTTCCACTCCCATAAGTCTCCCTCCCACTTGTGACCTTAATCATCGCATCCCTCTCCCGCCCCAAACCCCACCCACTAATGTCCGCCCATATCATTACCTCCATTTTTAGAAATCCGAGATTGAGAAACTAGTTGGGAACATACTTGTTATTGGCATCATCCGACCTAGCTCTAGCCCTTTTTCTTCACTTGTTCTTCCGGTCGAGAAGAAAGACGGCTCTTGGCATTTTTTTGTTGACTATCATGCTCTCATTGCTTGTGATAATTAAAGAACACTTTCCTATCCCAACCGTTGACGAACTATTGGATGAGCTTCATGGACTCACGTTTTCTCCAAGCCGGATCTCCGAGCAGAGTTACCATCGAGTGCATATCCACCCTCCGATGTTGAGAAGATCGCCTTCCATATGAAGAAAGCCATTATGAATTTTTGGTCATGCTATTCGGCTTCTCCAATGCATCTTCCACCTTTCAAGCTTTGATGAACTCTATCTTTTGTTCTTCTTTGCAAAAATTTATGCTTGTTTTTTTTTTATGACATTTTGGTCTACAACTCTACATGGGAATTACATTTGTAGCATTTGCAGTGGGTGTTTTCCACTTTACTGAGCTCATTGTTTATTTGTGAAAATGTCTTAATATAAATTCAGCTCCTCCGAACTCGCTTATTTAGGTCACTCTATTTTGGGCACGAGTGTAACCGCTAAACAGGACAAACTTAGAACCATCTAGACTTGGCCCCTTCCAACTTCGATGACCTATTTCCATGGTTTCCTAAGTCTCATGGGTTATTATCGTCAATTTATACCTCATTATGCTTCAATTGCTACACCTCTCACCTAGCTTCTTTACAAAAATGCCTTCATATGATCCTCAATACCACTTTAGCTTTTCAAAAATTACATGCTCGCCTTGCTCACTCCCTTGGTTTTGGCTCTTCCAAATTTCACTACCCTTTTGTGGTTGAGATCGATGCCTCTAGGTCGAGTGTGGGTGTCGTTTTATCCCAACATGGTCACCTAACTATTTATTTTAGTAACAAATGTTACCGAGGATGCAATCCACGTCTACTTATGCCCGTAAGATGTATGCTATTGTTGAGGCGGTTCGTAAGCAACGACAATACCTTTTAGGATGACATTTCACCATACAAACGGATCACTGTGAGCCTTTTCTCCCTCATTCATTAAACGATGCAAACCTCGTAACAACAAAAAATGATTAACTAAATTGCTTGGTTTTGATTTTGGTATTGTTTATAAATCGAGCATAAAAAATGACCCCGTTGATGCCTTGTTACGTCTCTCGTTAGCTTTTTTTCATTATTTACAAATTGCTTCTAAGCCCGTGATAGCCATCCGGGATGCCTTGAAATAATTTTACATCACCAATACTGTCGTTGCCAAGTTGCTGGCTTCAATTCGGACATTACCAATTGACTTTCCTCACCATTCGATTAAAAATGGCCTCTCTTCTTCAAGGATAAGGTGTTCATTCTTGCCGACTTTGCCTTTCGACCTCTTATTCTTTATGAGTTTCATAATTCACCTATGGGAGGCCATGCTTGCATGCAAAAAACACTTGCCCATATTTCGCTAACTTCTACTCGGCCCCATCTCCACCGGACGGTCCATGACTTTGTCTCTCAATGTTTGGATTGTCAAGAGGCCAAGCCATACAATAAAGCCCTACTAGGTGTGTTACAGCCATTAGCTATCCTTGGTCGATTTTGGATTCAATCTCCCTTGACTTTATAGCCCACCTTCATCCTTCGATTGGTAAAACTACTATTTTGGTGGTGGTGGAGCGCCTATCTAAACACGCCCACTTCTCTACGTTGGGTTCCAACTTTACAACTCCTCGAGTTGCTAATGTCTTTGTCAAGAATATTATTAAGCTTCATAGGGTTCCTTTAAGCATTGTCTTGGATTACGATCCGATTTTTATGAGCTCCTTTTAGAAAGAACTGTTTCGACTCTAAGGAATAACACCGGCTACAAGTAGTGCTTATCATCCTCAAACGGATGGCCAACCGAGGTTCTAAACCGTTTCCTAGAGGACTAGTTACGATGTTTTGTTGTCGACAATCCTCGACATTAACTCGTCTTAGCTTCCTTAAGTTGAATGGCACTACAACACTTTATGGTATTTAACCATTAAAATGACACCATTTGAAGCTATGTTTGGCGGGTCCCCTTTTCCCCTTCTTGATTATGTCCAGGGGTCCTCAACGGTGGCCTTCATGGATGAGCTCTTACGGATTTGCTTTTCTATTCCGTCCACTCTTCATGATGATCTTCTTTGTGCTCGGACTCGGATGCATAACCAAGTAAATTTCGACCGCTCGGATGTCAACTTCTCTGTAAATGATTGAGTGTTTGTGAAATTGCAGCCATTTTGCCGATCCACATTGGTGCATTGCCAATCCAACAAATTAGCTAAACATTACTTTGACCCCTTTCGTGTCACTCGGACTCATTGGCAACATGGCATCCCATTTAGCTTTACCTATTTCTACTCAAATTCATAATGTTTTCCACTTCTCTAAGCTTAAGTTGTGCAAAGGTGATCCGTTCAGTCATAGGCTCCCTGCAGTTCCTTGGTCCCTAACCTCTTCTTACCCCTTCCAAGGTCTTGGGATTCCATAGCATGGTATACCATAACGAGCAAGTGCTCATTCAATGGTTTGCCCGACTTCGCTTTAGATGTCACTGGGAATCGATTCAAGACATTTGTCATGCCTTTCCTTCTTTTAACCTCGAGGATAAGGTCCATCTTGATGAGCGGGGTAATGATGCAAGCTTAAGCCAAGACCTCACTACCAAGTGGACTTCTACTAGATCCTCCTCAGTGTCTAGAGAAAGAGCCATCATATTCCCAAGAAACCACACAAGTTTGGTGATTACATATAAAGCCAAAGAACACCGTTATAGTTTGTTACAAAAAAAAAAAAAAAAGGAATGATGAGTTTGTTACAAATGCTTTGTATGAGCTAGGCAATTCTATTAGAATCGTCTATAAACTTGATGATGAAATGATGAGAAATAACAAGAATTATTCCCTCAATTCTCCGTTCCTTCCTCCCCTTCTCCTTTTACCTCTCTTCCGCCATCTTTGACAAATTGCCCCCGAATTCCTCACCTAAATCTCTCTGTTTTAGAGCCCCGTGCATTGCCTTAGAGTATATCGCATCAATTTGTCTCTTGGTGTTCAACAAAATTCGACATGAAGGTAGTTTGATAATGGTAGAAGAAAGTGAATGCACAAAGGATTGTATAATCGTTGTATCGGCAAAAGAAATTATTTCATTATGCAATATAAAATCACTTTTGGTTACTATTTTCTATAATATTATTGTTAAACATTTACAGTTAAGTAAGATAAATTATGTTTTTGCGTTTACGGATTTAGTTCTATCTATATAGTTCAAAGTTTACAATTACTTTCAATGCTACGCCGACTTTTAAACAACTAACAAGATCTCACGGTTACACCTGACCTACTTTTTGGATTTTGTTTTAAACCCTTTTAAGGATTTTAGCAAGATATTATTATATGTGTAGGGATTTGAGAAAAAGAAC